CAATCAGCTTGTAACACTCCAAAGAGAAAGGAAAAATTGAAATCGCATCATATGACCCCTTTAATATAATTTAAACGGATGAGTTATAAAATAAATTCACCCCCCTCAGTTGTCATGAAGGGCAAAATTAGCTATATAGACCAAAATCATTTTTTGAACCAGGCTGTAAACATGTTTTTTTCTGCTGTAAAGTTGGGCATTTTAACATGGGGAGTCTATGGGATTGACTCCCTTTTGCAGCCAGCCTCTAGCGGCCAGTTGACGAATTACAGTTTAAGTCACTTCCTTGTTGGCATCACGAGAGAGAGCGGGAGGTTGCCGCTTGAGTAGGGCCCATATACTACTTCTACTATCACCTGAGGAGGATGGTGGTCATGTATGGGTGTATCATCCCTGTACCCAATTAATAAACTGGTGATGTTAGAACTCACTTTGTTACATAATCATCCCTGATTTCTCCCATTCTCTCCTATTCCTGCTATAATGTAAACCCTAATATGTGTGATCAAAAATGCACTACTGGTACCATGGTTAAATATAGAAAGCAAAGAGGACAATAGAAGACAAAACAAGATACATGTAAGAATGCATTAACTTTAACAACAAAGAATACACAGAGCAGATGCAATAATATATATCAATAGGAAACCAAATAATGTTAATAAACAAATGAATTGAAGTATCTTTGTACACTTAAGTTCCAAACCAACATGTAATTTTTTTAATCTGACACAAACAATTAAATTGCACAAATCCCTGATGATGACTATTCCTTCTCAGATGAATTACATTTAATAGGCTGATGGTCCTAAAAAAATATAGTCTCTAGTCTCTGCATAAACTATAGTCTCTGCATAAAATAAACTTCTACAACATTTGTCCATTCTTCACTAATAAAATCAGCTTAAATATTATATTAAAATATTATCTTTCATTTTGTTTCTTTCGTGAACTTTATCAGTGCACTAAAATTACAAAAACAATGTTTGTGCTAATAAAACAATAATGGCTGGATATACAGTCATTAGTGAACAGCGTACCATCCATGGAAAGCCACTAGAGGTGGTGTTTGTGTACTCTGAAAAGGTAAGAAGTACAGAAACATAATATATGATAAGAATATATGGCGATGAGTTCTCAGGGGGTGATCAATACACTACACACTATGTGGTATATACCAAATACTGTATATTATGTATTTAAAAGTATTAAACAAAATACTATTTAACACTGAAACATAGTATTAGTTGGAAAATACCATTTGTACTCCATGTGTATTTCATGGTGGTAGACTCAACAGTTGCATTTGTGACAGGCACTGGTGTAGAAGTAACAATTTCCCCTGTAATATAAAATGTGCAGCACACATGAAAGTTCGAAAATCGAACGATTTAATTGTCGTGCTAATTTGTGTATTGTACGTCACACACTCACCTGCTTTGATAGTATCAAGTATGATGCCTAGAGGTATGGTACCATTCACAGTGGTCCTGTTAAGAATAGCTTCTACCTCAAATGAGCTTGGGACTATAGAAGAATTCTCAAAGATAAGAGTCATGTCAGCTTTAATGGAGCCCCTCCTGGAAATAAGAAAATTATCATTTTAACCCCCAGTGTCTCCCAGTGTGTTAAAAACATCCTGGACATCTTTATGATGAATTTGAAAGACCACAGCTGTCATGCTTACGTGAAAAAGTTGACTCTGCAGCGCCTGTATCCTCTGAGATAGCTTGCCCTGTAAATTCTGTTTATCTGCATGTGATGAAAAATATGATAATTTTACCTAAAATAGAGTACAGCATGAGAATTATCCTAATATAATAATAACAACAATAATAATATGCACTCCCCTCATGTGAATAAAAAAAAGCTAATTCAGTCATTTTTAACTTAGTATAAAAGGAAATATTTCTCAATTATGTTTATTTTTCTATTACAAAATATTTTCTTGAAATAATTTTATTTATTTATTTATTACTGTAAATAACATTTGGAATAACTTTCCAGCATGGTACGAATAGCCTCCAGCCATAGAATCCCCACCACCATAGAACAAGCGGTTTGGAGAATGGGTGGATGAATAGGCCAGGGGTAGCATTGTTTGGTTTTTGAAGCCACCTAGTGGCGCTTTGACTTTTGCAATTAATAATTCTGCCTTCACATACTATCAGAATTGAAGTAAATATGAGAAACCGGCTTGGAAATAGCACGAAATTCTTCTCAAAAAATGATGTTCATGAACTTCTGTTTGGGAGCCGAGCTGTAGTAAATGGTAGGTTCCTTACTTGTACCTTTTTAAAAAAATTTTTTATTAAACTGTTGGTTGGTTGGTTAGTTAACTAGTTAATTAATTAATGCTCAAACTGTCAAAATTTTCTCTTTGTTTAAATTATTTATCGATAGTTCCAATATCACTATAGCTTGTTCTAGTGTTGTTGTACAAACATAAATTAATTGCATGGAAAAGATTTTCTCAATTTATTTAAGATTATTGAACAAATATACAGTATTTTCTCTGCTAAGTTCGAAATTTGTTGTACCGTTTATGAGTACTCAGAGTGTGGCTACGATCTTAGGCTCGTTGTCACAGGCTAATCTTAGACATAAAACATGTCATAAAACATGCTTTCTTTGTAGTGTGCACTAGTCTTGCCGTTTTTCTCGATTGCAAACACATCGTAACTGACATATCATTTGGCCCGAATTTCCCAAACCATTCATTCAGTTCTCGAAACAAAGACACATTTCTTTAAAATTTTAAACATAATTCACCTGTTTTGACAGACACATACACATACAGTATAATTACAGTAGGCTACATAGTAGTAGATAATATAACTTTCACTGTTCTGTGTACAGTAAATACTGTAGCACATGTTGTACACCCTCGTAACTAGCCAAGTACTCAATGTACTGTATTTTTAAGCAATGATTTTCTAGGGGAGGTAGAGAAAGCCTTTTGACAGAAGACAATTAGATATTGATATTACTATTAGATATTAGATATTGCTATAGTATAGCAAATAAGGTCATTACCAATACAGTTATGCAATTTGGCAGAGGATGCTGAATTTATTTATTTATTTGTTTATTTTTACTGAACAGTAATTAGCAATATAGTGTATTGTGTGTTCATATTTAGTTCTTTGGTATTTGAACTGTCCTTTTCTAGTGCTTTTCATATAGATCTCTTTACAGTAGTGTAATGAAAGTAAACTTTTCTTAATACTAATACATTTCACTGTATCTGCAGAAATGTTGTTATAAATGGTGAATTATTTTATGAATCGTGAGTTACTGTAAGTAACCATGATGTACCAGCTGATTTGATAAATATCCTTTTAAAAGTAAATGGCATTTATGTTTGTAAAACAAGTTAGACTTACCTCAGTTACCACATGTGATGCCAATGCAATGAATTCAGGGGATGATCGGTTGTTATATATTTCTCTGAAAGTTTCATTTAGACTGAATCTTAAGTGTATGCTTCCCTCGTCAATGGTAGGAGGATCAGTGTTTGTGGCCTCTGTTGCTACTGTCGTCAGTGCAATTCCTGAATCTGTGGTACCAGATTTGTTCAATGTAGTATGTCCTGTTGATAAAGAACCAGTTTCAGGTTGAGTTGTAGGCTCTTGTATCACTCTTTTGACAGTGGTGGAGACCTCTGATGTATGAGGCACTGTTACTGGCTTCATTGTTGTTGTTGTGGTTGTCATTGTTTGTACTGTTTCAGAATGTAATACAGGGGATGAAACCTCAGCTGGTGTGTTCTTGGTTGATTCTGGTTCACGGCGAACAGTAGCTGCTGTAGTTGTCCCTGATGCAGTTGCTGGCAATGCTGATGCCACTGGTACCAAGGTAGAAGCTTTGGGTGCAGTAGCAGACTCTGCTAGGCCTGTTTTCATTGTCACTACATCTTCAGTTGTAGTTATTGTTGCTGTGGTTGTCCCTGCTGTAGTTGCTGGCAATGCTGAGCTTACTCCTGCTGATGCTGCAGTAGTTGCACTTGTTGTTCGTACCAACACTGTTGGGGCTTCTGCAGATGATTCTGTTCTTGCAGTTGTTGTCTTTACTTCACCTGTTTCAGGTAAAGGTGATGATCCCTGTGTTTTTGGTGCTGCTGTAGTGGAAGCAAATGTTGATTCTGTTGTACCAGATGCTCTCAATGTAGTTATTCCTGCTGATGAAGAACCAGTGTTAGCATGTGTTGTAGGTTCTTGTGTCACTCTTTCGACAGTGGTGGAGACTTCTGAGGTATGAGCCACTGTTACTGGCTTCACTGACATTAATGTTGTAGTTTCTTTTTGGGCTGATGAGGGTTCTGTTGTGACTTGAGATGTCACTGGTACCAAGGTTGAAGCTTTGGGTGCAGTAGCAGACTCTGCTAAGCTTGTTGTCAATGTTTTTGTGACTGTATCTACTGCCACAGAATGTAACACAGTAGATGAACCCTCAGCTAGTGTAGTCTTGGTTGATTCTGGTTCATTGCTAACAGTTGCTGTTGTGGTTGAGCCCGGTGCAGTTGATGGCAATGCTGATGTCACTCCTGCTGATACTGCAGTAGTTGCACTTGTTGTTCGTACCAACAATGTTGGAGCTTCTGCAGATGATTCTGTAGTTCCGGATGTTCTTGCAGTTGTTGTCTTTACTTCACCTGTTTCAGGTAAAGGTGATGATCCCTCTGTTTTTGGTGCTGCAGTAGTGGGAGCAAATGTTGATTCTGTTACACCAGATGCTCTCAATGTAGTTATTCCTGCTGATGAAGAACCAGTGTTAGAATGTGTTGTAGGTTCTTGTGTCACTCTTTCGACAGTGGTGGAGACTTCTGAGGTATGAGCCACTGTTACTGGCTTCACTGACATTAATGTTGTAGTTTCTTTTTGGGCTGATGAGGGTTCTGTTGTGACTTGAGATGTCACTGGTACCAAGGTTGAAGCTTTGGGTGCAGTAGCAGACTCTGCTAAGCTTGTTGTCAATGTTGTTGTGACTGTATCTACTGCCACAGAATATAACACAGTAGATGAACCCTCAGCTAGTGTAGTCTTGGTTGATTCTGGTTCATTGCTAACAGTTGTTGCTGTGGTTGAGCCCAGTGCAGTTGCTGGCAATGCTGATGTCACTCCTGCTGATGCTGCAGTAGTTGCACTTGTTGTTCCTACCAACAATGTTGGGGCTTCTGCAGATGATTCTGTAGTTCCGGATGTTCTTGCAGTTGTTGTCTTTACTTCACCTGTTTCAGGTAAAGGTGATGATCCCTCTGTTTTTGGTGCTGCTGTAGTGGGAGCAAATGTTGATTCTGTTGTACCAGATGCTCTCAATGTAGATATTCCTATTGATGAAGAACCAGTGTCAGCATGTGTTGTAGGTTCTTGTGTCACTCTTTCGACAGTGGTGGAGACTTCTGAGGTATGAGCCACTGTTA